TGAACGCATCCCCGAGGCGATCCAGAAGATTTGCTCTGCTTCTGCTTCGAACCTTCGTCCTGCCGGTGGTCCTGACACGCCGCGCGATGCTTCTCGTGAACCTGTGTGTGAATGAAAACGCGTGTTAACTTGCTCGTGCAAAAGGGGACGGAGGAAGAGAGAAAGAGAGAGAGAGGATGGAAAATTGTAGCACGTGTACGCCACGTGCCATGGGCGGCACGATAGCACGCGCGCACGCACACGCGTATCCGCGTTTATCACCTTTTTCGAATACGATTTAGTAGCTAGTTTCCAACGATTCCTAGAGAATCACCACCGTATCACCTGTTCGTTTTTACTCGTGTTTCGATCGAAATCGTGAATGTCGAAACTCGAACGTACAAACGCACCATCGAGTCTCGTATTTCATTCGGGTATCTTTGAACGGACCGAGGTAAAGCAGGGAAAGCAGCAGGTATCATTAGCACTCTGCCGGTGCAGTGAAATTTTCAGAACTATGTTGCTCGCGTGTATCGCCGCTGTTCGTTCGGAGACACCGAGTTGGACTCGTTCCAAAGAATACGAGCAATTCGTCCAGAACGTATAACCCTTTTCGAGAGCATTTCTGAGCGTTTCCAATGGACCGTCTTCTTGGTTCGTGTTTCCTCGTTTCTCAGTTGACCTGGAAATCTTGGAAAAGCTAATAGTTCGGGTGGAAATCGGTTGGAAAACGATTGGGGAAGGGAAAGAATTGAGAACCACTGGAGTCCCCGTGGCCTGCGCCACTGTCCTCCGGTGGGCCCCTTCTAGGGTAACACGAAGGGGGGCACTGACAGCGACAGCTGCCGCTGCTGCTGCTGCATTCCCCTCTCTCTCCTCTCTCACTCTCTCTCTGTTCTCTCTACTTTTCGCGTCTCACCGCTGCTGCTCAAAGACCCTTTTGCCGAGCCCTCTCGGTCCCGCGGGGCCCCTTGGCACCACGGCATCCCCACCATGGGGCCCCATGGTCGCGTGGCAGCCAGCCAGCCAGCCAGCCAAGCCAAGCCAACCTTCTCCTCCACAAAATACACCTTCGCTGTTCCGTTTACTCCCAAACGCCCAACGGACGCGGACTATCCTTCTATCTTTCTTCTTCTTTCCATCGGCCGCCGCGAGCGTCACGCTCCAAGAACCAGCTTCGTTCCTCGCGGATCCTTCATTCTGCGAGCTCGATTCTGCTCCTCGCGTGCACACGCGTTTCGAATGGCCCGGTGTTTCTTTCTTGTCGGTGAATCTCCTCGATCCTCCTCGATCCTCCTCCCGTCTTTCGTCCCGAGAACTAACGGTTTCGAAACGTTTGCTCTTCTCTTTTATTTACCATCCTTCTCTTCGTCCGAGCTGCATCCAGACAGATTCCATGGATTTTTACACTTGCACTTGTAATCTGTACAGGCATTCGAATTCGACGCAATCTACTGTTTGCTTTGAATAAAAGAATCGCTCCTGAAAGCGAAGTCGAAATTGATTATCGCTCGTCGCGATCTCTGGATCCTTTGGTTCCTGTCGAGCTTCGTGGGTCTTTGTGGGATCCCAGTATACGTATAATGACCTGCGGTTTTAGGCCCAGCGATCCCTACCGTCCACGAAAAAGGTGGGATATTATATTTGGAAACGTAGCGTGCACGCTGTTCCGATTATTCTCAGTCCATTGCTTTCACTGCACTTTTATGCGCAAGCTTTCGAGTTTCTGCCTCCTCGGATGACTCGATTTACCTTTCTAATAGACAGCATTCATTCATTAGATCACAATTCTTTCTAAATGATAATTCAACAGAATTGTTATAAAATTGAAGAAAAGGTAATAAAAAATGTATCGATCAAATTGATCGGAGATCGAGACAGAGTGGAAGTTAAGTTGAGCACCATTGGCTACCTGAGTTCTTTTTCACATTTTTTTCGTCTTTCTCCGCTGGTTCTCTTCTATTCTTCCTCCCTCTGGTAGAGAGGTGCGCGTACCCCCTCTACCATTGGGGTCGAAGGCCCCAAGGGTGGCAAACCTTCCCCTTCTCTTTTCCTTTCCCTATTCTCCGCTTGGCCGCTAGTTTCTTTTTTCTCTCTTCTTTTCTTTTTCCCTCCACTCCCCCTCTCTGTCCCTTCCCGTCTCGTTCTTACCTGCGAAAGGCTGGAACACCCTTTTGGGTCGCGTGGCACCGTGCACCGGCACGGTGCACACGCGAATTCTCCCATAGAAATGGCTCGTTGGGGTGCGTGGGTCTGCACACGGTGACGGTCCACGTATCGGGTGTCTCGTAAATATGAATAAAAAACATGCACCGTAGCGATGCGAGGGGATCGTGTTTTGTGCTCGTTTGATTCTTCAGGTTTCGAGCCGAAGAATCCTTTACAGTCGAGAACACATAGTTCGAACGTGTTTCGTCGAAAATCTTAACGCGTTCCGGCTCGTTTCGATCCGCTATAAAACACGGTGAATTACTATTAACATCGACACACAAGCATATCGAATTAATCGAATTAAGCCTTTCGAACGGAAAGCAGGTGTTCGATGATTTCTTTCGTCGTTTAACGGATCTCTGTTTTGTCGCAACTCGTTATCTCCGATTTTTCTTGGCATTCGACTCGATTCGACGCGACGCCGCGCCGCTCTCGGCAGGTGGTGATTCGTCGTTTTAGAAATTCACTAGACGGTTGGATATAACGAGGTACATATACGCGCTCTACTTGCTGCTTAATATTCGCTTTTTCTCTTCGATGAAATTCGTCAGATTCTCTGGGAACGAAAAGGATCCTTTGGTCTAAGTTTCAGGGTTGCAGGCTGCGAGAGGTACCCACGCAGATCAGACGTCTGATCGTTTTTCGAAAAAGGGGCAAAAATTGCCGGGCAAGGTGGGCCATAGGAATCCGGGGTCAAAGCACAGACGAGCGGTCATCCAATCCTGCTGCGTGTTAAGCACGTTCGATCGAGCGCGTAATCGCGTGTGTTTTAACCTATCCCTCGGTTGTTCACGAATTTCCTATAACTCGGTTACATTTAACGTTGCTAACCGAGTCTTTCACGGTCCGCTGTTTTATCACGAAACGTCGTCGACGCGGTTTCATCGATCCGAGGAAATCTCGTTTTCCGCGCGTCGTGAAAGTATTTAACCGAAGGGTTAATTGTAGATCGTTTCCCAGTCGGGAACACGATGGAGAGGGGGAAATAATTTTCGGTAATTCTAATTCGATGGCGTCGGGGCTGATATACGACGGCGAGCGAGCTGACCACGAAATCGCGGTCGTGTCTCGTGCGCTGAAAATCGCTGCCCGCCGAGCGCGGTTTTCGAGGTTGTGTCCCGCGTTTCGCGAGCTGTAATGCCGAATTGATGCCAGCCGAAATCCGTGTCGATGGTATCGTGGCTACCAGCAGCCGGCTGTAGCGCGTAATTCGCCACCGGTGTTCGATATACTCCTCTTTCTCGAACCCGGTTTTATTATCACGGTTTCGTTAATGCGCCGGACGTTCACCGGTCAGAGGAAATGGGTACCAGGAGTCGGTGATAATTCTTCATCGGGTAATATTCGATAGAGGTGACGCGGACAGGAGGCAAGATGGAAGACGAACTAGTCGTGACACGGAGCGGACCGGTGCTCAACACTACGTCATAACGGTCGAGCTGGCTTGCACCGGCTCTGAGGATGACACGATGGACCATGGTTTAGCTTGTCCTTTGATGCATGATATTGCAGACTCGGTAGTGCGCGCTTCGGCAAACATGTCACGAGCAAGCCGAAACTGTTAGGATTCATAGTTATCTCGACCGATCGTGGCATACTCGGACGCTCGCCCTATCGTCCACGCACGACTATATCCCTTCTCTGCAATATCCTCTGCTCCTTTTATACTGCCCTTTACTCGAACTACTTATCAACCAGCTGGACTCTATACTCTTACAATTGCGATAAGCGGAACCGCTTATTCGAATTCATCTCTGTGAATCACCAGCTGAGTTACTTGGAATAATTAATCCTTTCTTCGACGATCATCGTATATATCAATCGTTGGAAATTAACTGTACATGGCAAAAAGTAGTCTTCTTTTTTATATCGAAGATGGGATCGAAAGGAATATCGTGTCTTTGGAAGGAGATAAAAATCAGCTGGCAAAGAGTCGTCGTTCGTTTTTGCCAATTGGAACAGTTCATTTTAGAAAAGGGGGATAAAGTTGAAACACGACGGTAAATAGAGGGTGTGGCGATAAAATATCGTCGAGTTAAAATTAATCTCGAATTCTTCCGCTGCGGTTTTCGAGAGCTACCGGTAAATCCAGCCGATCCTCATAAATCGTCGGCAAGACGCGTGCACGTAGTTTCAAGCTTCTCTCTCTCTCTCCCTCTCTCTCTCTCTCTCTCTCTCTCTCACTCTGGTCTCTTTGCACGCGTATATACCCGTACGTATACGGGGTGGGCATTAATAACGGATGAAGCCTCGACTGCGGCAACCTCGTAATGTTTATCTGCTTGTTTATTCCGCGTGCGTACCGACCGCAACGCGGAAAACGCGTACGTATTCAACCGGATTCTTAACGCGATCGCAGTTTTGATTTATAAACACGCCGCGAGAATTTATGAGCCGCATTAATTTTGCATCGACTTGCTGCTTTTCGGTTAGAAACGCGCACCATCTTCCTCGCTTTCCTTCTCCCTTTTTTCCTTGAAACATGCCAGCTTCGTTTATCATGAAAATATGAGAAAAATAAGAGTAATTTTCTACTGTATTAAATTAGGACTGTTTGTTCAATACGAATGCAATTTCCAGTCAATGAAAGGAACAGTTGGTTTTACGGTAGCAAGTATAAAACAAAAACAGGTATGAGTGAAAGCTCTGTTGCTGCAACAAGATTAGAATAAAAGTGAATGAATGCGTTAATTGGTATTGCAAAATCGCCAATCACGGTAGCAGAATTCTTGTTTCTTCAAAAAACTAGAAACTGCACGTAACGATCTCTATCGTTTCTCTTCTAATCCTTGATCATTTTTTTGTTGCAGAAAAGTTAGGCTTCCAGTCGCCGTATGGCCCCACGATGGACAATGGAATGGTGAGTGTTTTCACTCGTAAAAATATTTATACTTCTCGTTTAATTACGTACGCGTTGATAAAGAAAGATGATTATTCGCGGAGCATCAAATTCGAGGGTGAATTCGGGATCTTTTCTTCCCCTTGGTTGACCAGCTCGAATCTCAAGATAAGGCAGGATTACGTAAGAAACAGGAGCGTAATAATTATTGCAGTCGTGGAAGTAAATTTATCCGAGAAAAAGTTACTCCCTTCTTTGCTTCCTCTCGCGTCGTCGCACCCTCGACCACCCTCCGCGTAATCCGAAAACTTTAGTCCAAGTAATATTTTTTCGAGGCAAGTGGCTCTCATCTTCCACGAAATTTTTCCTTTAAATATCTCGTGAATCTTGTCTAGATTGAAACAAGCATTTCTTGATAGTTTTCATACGAAAAAGAAACTATAACGTTCACGTTCCCGACAGATTTCCCTTCCTTTAAAACTTCAGCTAGCCATTAAGAACTCGTTCGTTTCGTTGATAACGCAATTAGACGGTGTTCCAGAAGCGAATGTCGCGTTGCTCCGCGATTTCCTCTCGCAAATTAGTAAGAAAGAGATTAATTCGAAGGATCTAGCAAGCATCGCGATGCTTCTTTTACCGTAGGAAATAAGAACCAACCAATTTCACGATGGTTGAGCATCGTCAACCTCCAGCTTTAATATCACTTACGCCTCTTCTTTGTTCGCAATAGTATACGTATACATATGAACGAAAATGTATATGTATGTACGTATTAATATATACATCGTGGAACAAAAGAACCGTGAAGGGTTGCAATGGGTGGAGTAAATTCGAATGAAAAGTTATCTAGAAACGCGGATAAAGTACCTCGTATTTTGTTCTTTCATGGCACCTTTCTCATCCATTTCTTCCGCTTCCTCGCAACCCCCATAGTAATTATTGCTAATTAGTTGGGTCTTTTAAAGAACGCTTCGTTTGAAATATTTTCAATTTGACCGGAGTTGAAACTCTATTAGTAGCCCGATAATTGAGTAAAGTTTACAGGTGTAATAGAAAAGAAGCCTTGAGCCCGCATTCGCCCGTTTAATTGTCGCATCTCGACAACCTTGTTTCTATTATTCTCTGCTTGATAGAAAATTGACTAGTTTGAATCGTGATCATTTTTATCTAACGCGTGAAACACTCTTACGAAGAGACGATAGTAGAGATTTTTGAACGATGCCAGAGACCAGTATCTAATCTGCAGTCGTTAAACCACGACTGATAAGAAGTATTGATTTCGATGGGTGATTTATTCAAGTCGTTCTAGCATTCGATTCCTGTTAGCCGGCATAATTAACCTTAAAAAAGGGGATTTTCAAGAAAAGAACATTAGGAAATAAATTTTCTTTATTGAGAAGTAACGTACAGGATTTGTTAGTTGAATGGGACACTCGATGTACCGTTGGTCAAACAGCGAGAGGGAAAAAAAAGGGAAAAAATTTTGTTTACAGACGTACGGTGGCGGAACGTACGGTCCAACGGCAGGAGGGCCAGGCGGGGGGCCAGGTGGAGGTGGAGGTGGTGGTGGCGGCGGAGGTGGCGGTGGCGGTGGCGGCGGAAATGGCAGCGGTGGAGGCGGAGGAGGTGTCGAGGGCGCCACTTATCCCCCGGATTCTCCGTACTTCCCGTTCGGGACCAGGGCTGTTCCACCGTCCGTGGGGACGCCCACCCCCGCTGCTAACCCTGCCGCAGCAGCCACCGGCACCAACGGAGCACGGTTACCAAGTTCCACAGCCGGTTAGTGTTTCTTTCCATCCCCTTTCCCCCTTCTTTTTCTCTTTTCTAATCTTCCAGAGAATTTGTCGATGATAAAGGGCTGTCTCCTTCGAATGTTTCAGGCGCCGCAGCTGCAAAGAGAAAGAAAGACGTAAGTGTCTTCTTAATTCCTTGATTTCTTTCCGTTTTTCGTTAATTATTTCGTTATTTGTTGACTTTAGTCAAGCATTTTTACAAAATCCAGACACACACATACACACACCCAGGAGTCTGATCTTGTGCTCGTTTATTTAGCAGGCCCTCGACGGAGCGGATGGCGAAGTGGTGACGACGCAGCACTGGGTGAGTGAATGAAAAGCATTCGATAAACGCATGATAGTTGTTAACGTTTCCTACTCCGATCATATTCGATAACGAGTATCGAGATAGCATGATTCCAGCGGCTGGTGATTGTTAAAAGCCACCGACAGAAGGAGAGGAAAAAACGATAGAATTAGGTTGGCTCGTAAATTACGTCTCACGTTTTTTTTTCCTCTTTGCTAGTTCCTCGAGCAAAGCACGAGGAAGAGCAGTGTGGGATGATCTCAGGGATCGGTCATGATCGTAATCTTTACGAGCCGAGTTACGGAGCATAATGATTTTACCAAGAGTCTAGCACCGGATAAAACTGCTCGTGGATCTCGAGTAGTTTTCTCGCGGGTGTAATCCACGCTGCTCGCACGCCCCTCTCGTTTTTCATCCATCGAAATTACTGTTTTACTCTTCACCGCGATTTTTACACTCTGCTACTTTTTATTTAACTCGCTCGTTAATAAACCGCCGGTAGCCCGTACAATTTTGTCACAAAAGAATTCGAAGAGGATTAAATATGAACGATAGAGCTCACGGTAAATGGAATATATAATATCGATCGATAGGAGAACGTTAAATATTTGTCGTTCGCGTTTGTGACTCTCTCTCTTTCGAATGGAGAAGAAAAAAGGCGAAAACAAATTGCCTTTCGATGACCGAATACGCTGTCGCACCTGTTTAAATTCCCCTTTTCCGCGTGCATCGCCTAACCGATTTATTGGAGGATAAATATCGAGGAATATTCGAGGTTTATAATTTTGTTTCCTGTAGTTTGTTCGATACGTCTTCGATAAACAACCATCTTCGTGATTAATCTTCGTACACAGGGGTGGTAGAATTGCTTTCTCGCTTCGTGTTTTCGCGTTCTCCCTCGTCGTATTATTATATAACATTTACCGGTTTCGCAACAATTTTTCTGTCCTCCAAAAATAGAGAAAAAGTTTCGTATTCAAACACACGGGGTATCTGTCGAACAGACACGACGTTCGAAATTTCACGAATTCTCTCGAAAGGATTCAGGGTCGACGAGTGATTAAAAATAACCGTGTGGCGTGATTGGACGTTTCCCTAGAAATTAATTCGATAACGCCTTCGATCAGACAGAGAGAGAACGATTTGATAAGATTAATTACAACGATTTCTTGTTTTCATTTTCGGCTACGGGTGACTTAATTAATTAATCGAACGGTAACGTTATCTGTTTCCGATTCCTCGTGATAATTTTTGCGAACGAACAAATGTATGCTCATTTTGTGGTAACCGTTCAATGAAATCGTATCGAAATTATCCACTAGACGATTTAATCTGTCTGTGATCTTTGAACTGGTGTTCAGTATTGACAATAGAAGTGCATCATTTGTCACGATAATACACGTTATCTAGACGTATCGGACAGAATCTGTGTCGCTTTTTATCCGTTTATATAAATAATCAATAGGTTACTTAATTTCGATCGTGGTTATCACAACTTATGCGATCACAATTTCCTCCCTTCGACATATACAGAGGAGAGTAGCGGATCGTGGGTCGAAAAATCGTGAAGTAATAACCGGTAATATGTAATGGGGCCAAAACAATAATAAATAAGCGTGGAGAGTCACGAGCAAATAAATCCTCGACTATCCCACGGTGCGGATCGTCGTTAATCCAAGCGATATGGCGTGTTACACGAACACCCCCTCGGCCATACCATAAGCCTGCTAATAATTTATTCAGCGTACAGGAGTACGCGATTACGTTTCTATTAGGATATGGGCGTTCTAGTGTCCTCGAGGGTGCTGTAACCGTATTCCCGTTTCCCTCCGCTGGGAGTTTCACTTATCGTTGCCACCGTCCTTGTTCGACACCCTTCGTCCTTTTTTTTCCCCCCTTGGCCTGGCCTCTCGACCGTGTCCAGTGGCATGGTGCCACCGTAAGAAAACACAGCACACCCCATTTCTTTCTCAAAACATAAATATTACCCGGTGGACGGAAATCGAGCAACGATGATCGACATGGGAATAGGTTCTCTAAATTGATCACCGAAATTCTCCCATCGCATCCCGGGATCGTTCAATTTTTAACCGAGATTTGATCGAGACGGTTGTTTTTCGTCGCGTCGAGTGATAAATGGTAAACGAAGCAGCAGTGGAGGAAAGCATGCTTGCGATTGAAAAAAAAAAATATCTTGGACTCGTTATATGGTTGGTTCCTTTGTCTATTTCGGTTAAGAAATCGTGGATCGTTTATTCGAGAGCAGCAGAGGAAAGCGTGTTTGTGTATAGGGGGGGTCATGGGTATCGGGAGACCATATGGTGTCGCGTGCTACGTTCGCCAGACCGTGGAGCCCTTTCTTCCACTTCGTTTCCATGGCTTGCGCTATGGCTGCCTGAATGGCTTCTCGCTAATTCGTGGCTTGCAGGAATTTCCTACTCGTCGCGGACCAGCAAAGATCCAGCTACTTGCCGAGCAAGTGGCAGGCATTTGCACGGATCAACGAGCGTGCACCTTCTGCGAATGGACCACCTTAAACTTTCGATGGATTGCGTTCCTTTACTCCTCGTTCAGGTTTTTATCGTCTGTCCGGACCGCAGCAGATGCGACACGTTTGAATTCACGATTTACCGCGTTCTTGAGCATAGTCGAGTCGAGAATTTTTGTCGACCTTGTCACCCTTTCGAAAATCGAACAACGAAATCACGGGACACGGGAAAGCGATTTTATTGGTTTTTGGTAGGAACGATAGTTGTCTGATAGCTGCACTGACTGGTGCATCGGTCTGGTCGACTTTGATTGACGGATAAATTGGTAACGCAGCCGAGCCGAGCCGAGTTTACGATGTCAGCAACGCAGGTGTTTTCTCGAAGAAATTAAACTGCAGGCACTTTTGAGGCTCCGTTTTTAATTGCCTCGTAATATCTTCTTGGCCGTGGAGGGTTTACAGCGGCGACCATTAAGGTCGCTATTTTTGTACCGTGGTATTTCGTAAGACCCCGTTTCGTAAAAATGACCGCTCGAACAATTTCAGATTTCCTTTCTTTCTCCGTTACCATTCCTCCCGTGCTACCTCGGGTTTAATTAGATAATTCATTCGCGTTATTAGATATCTTGCCTTATGACACGTTTAATTGGCCGTGCAGAATCTACGAACCGGCATGCAACTTTTACAGAACTTCGTCAAACAGAGTAACAGCTTTACGAGCAATTTTCACCATTCATTTGTCTCGTTTGACGTTTATCGTCCATGTAGTAGCTCGTGAGCTAGCCGAGCGTTACTCGAGTGAATGCAAACGAGAAATTCTCGATATACCTTTACTTTTGCCATCATGTTTACCCGTTCCTCGTGGCGAGTGAATCTTTTTTTAGATGGATTTTTGATGGGTTCAGTTTGGTCGCGTTAGTCTCTTCGGTAGTAGATTAAGGGTAGCCTTTAATCCTTACCCGCGGAGGACGAATATATACGTTCTCGAACATCAACTGTTATTCGCAAAAAATGCATATCTACGACCACAGATCAAACTGTCGTAGAGAAACGGGATAGGACAAAGATTAAGTAGATTCTTTATCAAGCTTTAACGATCAGCTTGCGAATATCGAAGGGGTTAAATCGCAACGTTATTCCAATCTGACATGGAGGATCAGTCGATGAACGGGTCTCTGGTTGAACAGGGAGTACAGGCTGTCTCGTCAACGAATCAATTACTGGGGATTGCGTGAGATAGAGAGGGAGGGAAAAGAAAAAGGGAGGAAGGTCAGTAACGGGAGGGAGAAAGAGACGGTTTGCTAGAGACGTTGAACGTTGTTTGACGGGCACCTGTTGCTGGTAGCACACGAGCCAATGCCTCTTTGGCTTGCACTCTCTTTCTCTCTGTGCTTCCCTCGTGCCTCCCTCTTTCTGTTACTTTCGCCCCTTCCTTCCCTCGTTCCCCGCACTGTCTGTTTCACTTTGTCGCACCTTTTCCTCCCTGTTTCGCGTTCCAGCGACGTTTCGAGGTCGTGAAGTAGCCTGGAAAGGCTCTTTGTAATTTCCTCCGCAGCTTGGCGACGTCGATCGATCCCGAGCGGAAACTCGACGCACTCGCGGCTGATCTCGCGGGACATCTCGTTCTATTTAGACGCGATCGAGCTGGTTGGCCGGCTCTTGACCAGCGAATATGTCGAGAATTTTGCGTAATTTCGCGACCGCTGCGTTCTCGAACGCGGCTATTATTGGACACGCACCGGCTGACGTAACGAGCACCATTCGACGTGTTAGCACTCGAACGAATCTAGGATTTTTCGCGGATGCGTACTGCTCGTAAACCGAGCTGTCCGAACGGCGATTACGACCACTTCTTCGGTCTACCACTTATCGGGCTCGCAGAGTGCTCCCACCCGTATTTAGAACCTTTCCATTGCTTTTATCCTTCTGCAATTTCACCTTATTGTCTAGCTTACTCTTCCGTTTACCAGCTTTATTAACTTAAACTGATCGTAAATCAATGCGTCAGACGCTGCAAGTTTTCCCTCTAAAGAGTTCATAAATTCAAACATAAATTTAGGGTGCTGTACGAAAGGACATCGCGACGTTTTCGACACGGTGTCCCAAAGGCAGCCTGAACGTAGAAGAGCAATCATGGTATTATCGCTGTTATCGTATTTATCCCCCTTCCCTCTCTTTATCGTCTTTCTTCCTTGCCTTCCTCCACCTCTTATTTCAACCCTCAGCCACGCTCACTGTGTATCCCCGCGTCTCTCGCTCGGCGTGCAAACTCGCCGCAGTGTACAGAGTACACAGAGCACGCCGTGGCATGGGTTTATGGAGTGAGTTGTCGACTTACAACGGGTAAACCACCCGTCGCCGATGCGGGGAACAGAGGGAGTAGCGAGGTTGTGTTGGCGAGAAGGGTGGGTTGTATCGGATAAAGCGGCGAGAGAGAGGAGAGATATGATCTATACACATATTTTCTGGCTTCGAACGATACGGCAACTACACAGAGCGTACGCACGCTTGACTATTGTTCGCCTCGGCACTTTAATTTGTTACATCGAGTGTCGTTAAGCCGTGTAATTGAAACGGAGAACGAGATTTTCACCTTAGTCATCGCCTACGCCCTGTT